TAGTGTTTTCAAAAAAAATCTTGTTTTTTTTTATTGTGCATTCCAATTAATCTCAATCAAACTGCAGTTGGGTTATTTTGATTAGGTTAAACATAAATAAAAAATACAGCTAACTAACACAAAAAAACCCCCACTATAAAAATATTATTTATCACAAAAAACATGATTTTTTAAAATTTTACAAATCTGAGTAATCTGTTTTTGCAAATAATCTCTTCATATATATATATATATTCTTTATATTTATGAAGAGATTTTTTTTCTAAATCACCATTAAAAATATTAGATAAAAAAGTGAAAGGTTCATTACAATAATGAAAATTTGTCCATAAAATAATTGTCTTTAAATAATATTATATGGATTATTCGTCTTTGGGGCTGTTATATGACCCTCCAATATGTTTTGATGAGATTCTTCTCAACATGAGACTGAATTATTTGGAAAATGATGCATAATAAAACAGAAAAACAGTGTTTTGTTGAGTATCTGGAGATGTCAAATACTCACAGCTGCTTTAGCTGATGCAAACTCAACCACGGCACTGCCTTTCTTCTTACTGGATATCAGAACGTTCAAGACGTCTCCATACTGCAATGCAAACATCATTAAAACTCAACCATGAGCGCTGCAAAAATGGGCAAAAAGCTCTGCTTTGGATGTTGTGTGGCCAGAAACGAGGGAAGCAGAACATAAAACCGTGAGAAGGACGGTGACCCTGAAGAATCAGATTTAATTTGACTATTTTTAGAGTAAATAATTTCTTGCCAAGTCTTATATGCTTCTAAACGTCTGTCATAAATCAGCAGGACGGCCTCTATTTCTTTTCAGAGCATGAGAAATTCATCCACTCCTCCAGCTCGACGAAAAACAATCAGGAATTCTGGGAGTGAATTTGGAGTCGGTATTTGACCTTTGACCCTCGGAAAGGAGGACATCCAGACTAAACACTGATTCAAACATTATTACAGCGGCATTCTGGGAGTGAATGCTATGAAAACACCGCCATTTCACCTCAAAATTTAAAAGAAAAATATAAAGACCGAGGATTTTTTTGTATTGTTATGACAATAATGCACATTTTCCTCCCAAAGGTGAAATGTCTGGATGTCTTACTTTACAATAATAAAGTACAGTTTTATTTAAATCAGCATAAATTAAAGGCAGTACAAGAAATACCTGTCAAATAGCGTCTACTTTACAGTATAAAATAATATTTAATTTGTCATATTATAGTCATGAGAATCACAAGGAAACGTGTTTAAGTGTCATGAAAATACAATAAATTCTAAGAAAAGGTCTTACAATAGATTTCATTTTTTATGGAAATTTTTTATATATTTTTTTTGTTAAATATGACCACAAAATTTAACGGAAAAATTTAAAAAGTAATAAGATATTCTTTATTTTTATTTTTTTTTAGATCTTAAAATAGACTTCATTTTACAGAAAACATTTTTTTTTTTTTTTTTGTGGTTAAATATGAGAACAAATCTGTAAGAAAAGAAAAGAAAAACTTAAGTTTTGTGTAAAATAAATTCTATTTTAGGACTTTTTTAGGAGTTATTGTATTGTCATATTTTCATGACAGTTAAGCTCATGCAATAAATCCTTTAAAAATGACTTAAATAGACTTCATCTTGCAAAAATTGTAAAAAAAATATGACCACAAAATTTAACCACAGATATTAAACCACAAAAAAAGTTAAAAAACTAAATTTTACAGTCTTTTTGTAAAAATGTATTGTATTGTCACATTTTCATGACAGTAAACTCATGCAATAAATACCAAAACAAATGTCTTAAAATAGATGTTATTTTACATAAAACATAATTTTTTATTTCTGTCTCTTGATTTTGTATTTAAATATGACCACAAAATATTTAACCTCAATATCAGAATAAGAAATGACTGTTTTCTGCAAAATAAAGTCTATTATTAGATTTAATTACATTCACATCTTCATGACCGTTTAGCTCATGCAATAAATCCCCAAAATCAGCTTAAAGTAAACTTTATTTTACAGAAAACATGATTTTTTATTTAATTATTTATTTAAATTTTTGTTCAAATAGGACCATAATTTTTGGGGGGAAATTATTATTATTATTTTTTTTTTGTATTTATTACATCTTAAAATTTTCAAGGCAGTTTATCTCATGCAATAAAAAAGTTCTTAAAATAGACATAACATTTTGTTTTGTAAAATCTATTTTAGCACCTTTTCAATGATTTATTGTCACATTTTCATGACGAAAAAAATTCTAAATATGTATCTTACTTTATATAAAAATTATTTTCCTCTCTCTTTTTTTTTATTTTATTTTTTTTACACAAAACATAATTTGTTATTTCTTTCTTTTGGACCTGCTCTTCACAGCTTTCCTGAGCTGTGAAGAACACGTGGAACATTCCCTCCACGTTCCAGCATTTTTAAGAAACCGTGAGCATCGGGAAGATGTTTCCGAGAATCTGCCGTCTCTGAAATCAGTTTTACGGCTGCCTGGGAAAAGCAGAATGCATTTAACATTCAGAAACGGGGAAAACCTGCCAACAGTGACAAAGCAGTGCGTCCCAAAGGAAGCCTATTTCATCCATCCAGACGTTTCCAGAGGTTCCCAAGGCCTCGACCCACGCTGGCGGCCCAAAACACAGTCTTACACCATCCTCACTCGTGCAAGATCATTTCACGAGTCTTCTGTTTACACTGATGCTTGAGACAATTAGCCTTTTTCACAAAAAACGGAAATTACATTAGCGCAGGGTAAAGTTAGTTAGTTAGTTCTGTTGCAGGTCTGTGCCTATTATATTAGTATGCCCTTTTCTCAAATAATGCTTCTTACCTTTTCTGTTTTGTCTGTTTTCCAAGTTGTTGCTATATAATCAACAAATGCATCACATTTTACTTGTTAGTAACTTATATGCTGTTCTCATTGATCGTTTAGAACATTGCGTTGTTTTAAAGGGGTCATATGATGCGATTTCAAGTTGTTCTTTCTCTTTGGAGTGTTACAAGCTGATTGTGCATAGATAAGATCCCTGAAGTTGCAAAGACTAAAGTCTCAAAACCAAAGAGATATTCTTTATCAAAGTTAAGACTCTGCCACGCCCCCCTAAAACGCCTCGTTCTAACACGCCCCCACATATCTACCTCACTATGTGGAAATATTAGCATAATGCGCCCAAATGTGCAGCAAAGAAAGAAGGTGTGGTTTCAGTAACCGCAGTTAGTGTTGAAGCAGCATGTCAGGGACTTTGTGACTTTGCTCTGACAATCTGGCGCTTCTGAATCAGCTACTGTTTTGTTATTAGTTTAATAGTTGTGTCTGTCACACGACTCTGTTCCCCTCTCAGGCTCTGTCTTTACATTTATTTTGAAAGATGAAGCTCGCGATTATGGTAAGGGGCGTTACATTTCCGACGAGTGCTTGCGGTGATCGGCCAATCACAATGCACTGGGTCAGCTGGCCAATCAGAGCAGACTGCGCTTGTCGGAAGGAGGGGCTTTGTAGAAAACGAAGCGTTTGAGAGAGGCGGGGCATAGAGGACCTACAATAATGTACAGTATTTGAAAAATAATGTGTTTTTTGAACATTAAAGCATGTCAACATATTCTGTTACACCAAATACACAAAATAATGATCTTTAAAAAAAGCATCATATGACCCCTTTAAGAGGCGTCACTCTAGATTTGTTTAAATCGTATTTTGCAAATAGGAGTTTTTCAGTCAAGATGGGTGAACATTACTCGAGTAAAGCTTTTTTGCCCTGTGGGGTTCCCCAGGGTTCTATTTTGGCTCCTTTGCTCTTTTCTATCTATATGCTCCCTCTTGGCTCGATTTTTAGAAAACATGGTTTGTCATTTCACTGTTATGTGGATGACACACAGGTTTATTTGCCTGTCAAACGCAATTCTGTGTCTTGAGTCTCTTATGGCATGTTTGGCGGATGTGAAGGCTTGGCTTTCATTACATTTTTTAATCTTCAATGAAAAGAAAACTGAAATTATAGTTTTTAGTCCGTCTGAATTTTCTAATTCCCCAAAACTGGATTTAGGTGGGATGTCTCTGTGTTTGAAATCATGGGTAAATTTCGAAATCTGGGCTTCATTTTTGATGAGGGCTTAAAGTTTGACCGTCAAATAAATTCAGTTGTCAAAGCTTGCTTTTTTCAGCTGCGTTTGCTTTCTAAAAGCTAAGCCTTTTCTTTCTTTTAAAGATTTTGAAAAAGTAATTCATGTTTCCAGTCTCCTCTTGGCTCATATCGAAATCCTCTGACAATCTTCTTTACAAATCCTCGTTTAATAAGTGACCGTTGTTTTGTTTTGATCTCTCTCCTTTTTTTATGGATGGGCGCTTTTTATTTAACTTCTTTTGGACTGAAGCATGCAACACCCGCTGAGTGCCATGAAACAGCTTGAAAGATCAAAGACCATTTTTAATACAACTCCGACTGGATTCGTCTAAAGAAGAAAGTCATATACACCTAAAAATCATAATTGTCGATTATTCCCTTGAAATTGTAATTGCGATTATTAATTATGATTATCACAATTTACATTGAATGATGTTTATACCATTGTTTGATGCAACTGCATGCCGTATTTTTATATGAAAATAAACAAGCTAAAGAAATTATTTAGATTAATCGTTTCACAGCACTAAATAATAATAATAGCGAAAACAATTAATGTGGAAAGTCATAATGCACAGCCAGCACCAAACGGACAGAACGGCAAAACAAACTGAATTATAACTGCCACCATTTAGAATTAAACAAACTTGTATTTGATGACCCGAGCTTTGTAGAGTAAAGTACCAGCAGTTCAAGCATTTTCATAATCTCTGATTTGTAAAGAAAGACTTCTCGAATTCATTCTTGTTCATTACGGCCGCTGTTGTCACCGGAAACATTTTACCCTGCAAGCGCCAATCCGGAAGCCAGAAACACGGAAGTGTGAAAGAGGCTAATTGAATCAGACGTCATTAGTTGCATGTGAAGAGCACATTTCCAGCGAGTCCCCAGACGGCACTAAACGTGTCCGTAACGGTGGCATGTGCGCTGCGTTGCCTTCAGCGTTCTGCGCTGCTACAAAACTTAATGGAGCTCACACACGAGGGGAATAAAAGCGTTTAACGGCTGATGTCATGCAGACCTCGTTAACCACAGCGAACTGCTCATTCACACACGAGGTCACGTTCTCACACGCTGATCAGATTCAGCTCATCAGCAGCCATCAGCTGGAGAACAATCAAACCATTCCAGACTCACCTTTTGGAAGAGGCTTTGAAGGCATTCGTGAGAATAGCCGGCGTTGCTGGCATCGTCTTTTTTACACTTCCACTTCAGCTGAGGACGGGAATCAAACAGAGCAAATCAGCATCAATGCAACGCGCTTCTTAAAGATGACATAAATAAGGACCTCTGGTCTGCGGTGATCATTTTCATGAAAATTATGACATTTTCTTCTTCGGTTCTCATACTGTAACGTAAAAATCACTGTAATGCAGGTTCGCCATCTTCTCAAGAATTGGGGAAGGTGGCAGCATTTGAAAAAATGTCGTACAGATTACTCTAAAAAATAGATGTTTACGAGAGAAGACGGGGGAAATATTTGGCATTTCTTGAAGATGCTGAGTAAAGTCCTTGTGGTGAGACATTGTAAGAATGTTAATGATTTATTCTGTTATCATTTAAGTTTATTTCATTTATTTGTGTTTGTTAGATCTATGATAGTAATCTACAAATAATTGTACCTGACACGTTGTTTGGGTGAGCTAGGAGGAAGGGTTTACAAAATATTTAATTATCTGTAAATTAAATATATTGTTTGCCCATTGAAAAAAATAAAACGTATGACTCGTAAAAAAAAATGCTGAAAAATATTAATTATTAATTATTTAAATTATTATTTTTTTATTTATGCTGATTGCAGTATGTTCAGAGACCATCGTAAATAAATACCATTCGATTTTATATGGCAAAGAAAGAAAAAAGAAAGATATATATATATATATATATATATATATAAAGCTAAAATTAAAACCATTAAAATATAATATTTTTATGTTGAAATAAAAATGAATAAAAACTATATAGACATATATACCATTTTTTTTAAACTGCTAAAAATGACAAACACAACAAAATTAATAAAAGAAACTACAATTAAAATAGAAATAGAAAAATAAAAACTGATTCAAAATATTAATAAAAACTATGATAGTATCTCAATAAAACTAAAATAACACTGATATATACCATTTTGTTTATAATTACAGATATCTAGAGAAAGAAAGAGATGTAATTTATATTTCTTTACATTAATTTTACATAAATTTTTTTAATAGGGTAATAAATATGTATATTAATGTAAATAATAAATAATGCATATAATATATAATATTATTTACATGTTTGCTTATTTTCCTTTTATTTTAATTACTTTATTTGTTCTTATTTTTAATGTTTGGGTAATAAATATAAATATTAATGTAAATAATAATGTATATAATATAATATCACATATATTACAGCGTATTATTTAGCATTCACATTAATATACATATTTGTTTATTTATTTATTTATTTATTTTATTTTGGGTAAGATTCTCTCAAAAAGTGTCTGCTTATGCCTCATGCGGAGTATTAATTTCATTTCTCCGGCCCAATGATCAACTGTAATGCAATATTTATCAGCTCTCTAATAAAGAAAGTGAACACGAGTGCGGTTCGAGGACTCGGCTTTAATTAATGGAGAGGTCCAGTTAAAGAGCAAAGCTAATTAGTTTTAAAGGGCCTGTACTCGTTTAATCAGACTCCTCTGAGAAAGTCAAGACGAATGAGTTTTAAAGAAAAACACACGAGCACAGATCCGTCTGAAACTCTATCAGAGACTGCTGGGAAAACTATTTAAGACTGAGTTCAAGCCAAACCTCACGTAACGTAACCGTACATCAGTATAATTCAGCGCTGCTGTTTATTTTTGCTGAACGAGCTCACAAACATGACGCTAATTCACCGGAGGATGGGACGCTCGGATCAACCGGGAACACAATAATGAGATTAAATACATAAACACATTAGCTAACGTCTCCCTCCGTCCACTAATGAAGAAAACTGAGAGCTTTCCAAAGGAAATACAGTCCTGCTGGTTTTCCACAGATATGAGTCTCCAGACGAAACGATGACACTGAAGCACAGGAACAGAGCATTAATGAGAATTATTGCTCAGCGTGGATCAGGTCCAAACAGGACTGATGTCCACTGGAAAGCTGCATATGCATGTGAAGCATGTTTATGTTTTCATTTTAAAACACATTTAACATTCATTTTCAATAAAACTAAATAAAAGTACAGTCGTGGCCAAAATCACTGGCCGTGACATAAATTGTGTGTTTTGCAAAACACAAAATTTATGTCACTGCCAATAATTTTGGCCATGACTGTACATTTAAAATGATAAAAAAAGTAAAAAATAATATATATATATGAATATGAAATATATATACACAGTAGTTTCATATTTTATAATATCTTAAATTATCAGAAAATGATCAAAATAAAACACTTGAACATGAAACATGAAATATAAGCATATGGACTCTAAAAAACATATTTTAGATATACTGTATATATATGTGAGCTGGAGCACAAAAGCAGTGTTAAGTCGCTGGGGTATATTTGTAGCAATAGCCAACAATACATTGTATGGGTCACAATTATACATTTTTCTTTTATGCAAAAAATCATTAGGATATTAAGTAAAGATTATGTTCCATGAAGATATTTTGTACATTTCCTACCGTAAATATATTAAAACTTAACTTTGTGATTAGTAATATGCATTGCTAAGAACTTCATTTGGACAACTTTAAAGATGATTTTCTCAATATTTAGATTTTTTTGCACCCTCAGATTCTAGATTTTCAAATATTGTCCGATCCTAACAAACCATACATCAATGGAAAGATTATTTATTCAGCTTTCAGATGATGTATACATCTCAATTTCGAGAAATTTACCTTTAAGACTGGTTTTGTGGTCCAGGATCACATGTGTTCGTTTTTTTGTTTTTTTCTTCAATTTAGCTATTCACTTTTATACATATGTATATTTTATTTTTCATTTATTTTTTTTCTATTCTACTATTCACTACTATGCACATAAATATAATTTTATTCACTTCTATGCATATATTTTTTTATTCATCCTTTTTTTTTTGCCATTCACTTCTATGCACGTACCTTTAATTTAGGAGTCACGTTGCTGTTACCCTGATGCACTGCTGAAGAGTCTGTGAGAGACAAATGAGGACGTAGAGAGAAAACAGAGAGGAAATATGAGTTTGATATCAGCTCAGGTATCATTCACAGCAGAGCCCTCGAGAGCTCTCTTTTACTGTCCCTCAGTCGAGTGTCTTATTCTGTGCAGATTTGCCCATCAGCACTTATTTACGCGAGACGTTCATGCGTCAGGTGCAGAACAGACGCTTTCATCTCCATGCACTAATATTACAGAGATATTAAACATACATAAACATGGATCTCATTTGAGTTTTTCTGAAGCAGCCTGCTTGCGTGCGACTCAAGAAAGCAACTATATATTTGTGCTGTGAATAACCTATTAAAAATAAATTATATATAAAAATGTATTTAATTTAATTTATTTTATATATTGTATATACAGTAGTCAACATTTGAAGTGGATCAAAAAAGTTCATCAAAGTTTACCTAAGACAAGAACGCTTTTAGGTTTTAGGACAACTTTGATGAAAGGTTTTGATCCACTTCAAATGTTGACTAGTATATATATATTATATGTGTGTGTGTGTGTGTGCGTGCGTGCGTGCGTGCGTGCGTGCGTGTGTGTGTGTGTGTGTGTGTGTGTGCAATATTTTTTATTTTACATATATAAATTCATATAAAATATAAATTAATAAATTAAGGGGCAGAATTTAACTATTTGTTAAATATAAATAAATTATTATGAAATTAACTGTTAAGTTTAGATAGCTAGAATATTTGTAGCAATAGCCAACAATACATTGTATGGGTCACAATTATACATTTTTCTTTTATGCAAAAAATCATTAGGATATTAAGTAAAGATTATGTTCCATGAAGATATTTTGTACATTTCCTACCGTAAATATATTAAAACTTAACTTTGTGATTAGTAATATGCATTGCTAAGAACTTCATTTGGACAACTTTAAAGATGATTTTCTCAATATTTAGATTTTTTTGCACCCTCAGATTCTAGATTTTCAAATATTGTCCGATCCTAACAAACCATACATCAATGGAAAGATTATTTATTCAGCTTTCAGATGATGTATACATCTCAATTTCGAGAAATTTACCTTTAAGACTGGTTTTGTGGTCCAGGATCACATGTGTTCGTTTTTTTGTTTTTTTCTTCAATTTAGCTATTCACTTTTATACATATGTATATTTTATTTTTCATTTATTTTTTTTCTATTCTACTATTCACTACTATGCACATAAATATAATTTTATTCACTTCTATGCATATATTTTTTTATTCATCCTTTTTTTTTTGCCATTCACTTCTATGCACGTACCTTTAATTTAGGAGTCACGTTGCTGTTACCCTGATGCACTGCTGAAGAGTCTGTGAGAGACAAATGAGGACGTAGAGAGAAAACAGAGAGGAAATATGAGTTTGATATCAGCTCAGGTATCATTCACAGCAGAGCCCTCGAGAGCTCTCTTTTACTGTCCCTCAGTCGAGTGTCTTATTCTGTGCAGATTTGCCCATCAGCACTTATTTACGCGAGACGTTCATGCGTCAGGTGCAGAACAGACGCTTTCATCTCCATGCACTAATATTACAGAGATATTAAACATTGCTAAATGATTAAATGTAAATGTAAATATAATATTTTTTTTAATTCACCCCCCCAAAAAAGTCTCCTTAGGTCTCATTTTATCTTTTTCAGCTGCTGCACTAAAACTGTAACACAATATTGATCAGCTCTCTAATAAACAAACCAAACACCAGCACAGTTTGATGAATCATAATTTTTGTTATGTTCTATTTATTCATTTCTAATGATTTGTATCATTTAACACTGTGTCAGATTCATAAATCTGTGCTGAAACGTGCCGCTCAAACCCTTCAGATCAGACTGAAATGATCTCGCAGAGAGATTGCGAGACGCAATAATGAGCAGCTGTGTGTTGCGTGTCGTAAAATCTGTATTTACAGTAACAAGGACAATATTATCTATTTATACTCCCTGCATTGGTTATAAAGCAAACGCAGCAGCTGTTTCTGATGCTGTGAGCAGTGTGCATTCCAGAAATCAACACAACAATCACAATAAAACAAACTACTGGGCAGATTAAAGGATTAAAGGCACATAAACATGATTCTTGGACTAATGAGGAAATTATCAATAAAAAGATTGTGTAACTCCAGGTTTGTAATTTAGGTCTTAAAGGGACAGTTCACACAAAAATAATAATTCTGTCATCATTTACTCACTCTCATGTCATTCCAAACCTGTGTGAATTGTTTGGAAAAATGTTTGGAAAAATGTCCCAGTCTTTTTTGTCCACACAGTGGAAGTCAATGGGGTCCAATGTTGTTTGATTCCCAAAACTCTTCAAAATATCGTCTTTGTGTTCAATAGAAGAAAGAAACAGGTATGAAATAGGGTTGCACTATTTGGGGAGGGGGGGGTTCAGATAAAAATTGTGAGTGTGATTTAAAATGCAATAAAAAGAGCTTTAAGTTTGCTCTGTTTGTTTGTAGGGCTGAAAAATGTTGTGATTACATATCAATATGACTATATAATACAATTTAAAAATAATAATAATAATAATAATAACCATTATTTTTATTATTAATGAATAATACATAGTCATAAATAATATTAAATAATAATAATTATTATTATTATTAATTTATAGTCATATTGATATATAATCACATTTTATTATTACAAAATAAACAATTAAATAAATAATTAAAACTAAATTATTTTAATTTAATTAAATATTAAACAACATAAGAAATATTGTCATTGTAATATTTCACTGCAAATAATATGATAATAATATAATTTGTAATAATATAATTTTAATCTAAAGAACAACTGTAAAATTATAATACTACTATTTATGACTAATTTCTTCATTTTCAAATGATAAACCACTGCACTAAACCATACAGCAGTTTTGATTAATAGTGCAGATAGTTTGGAACAACACGAGGGAGAGCAAACGGTGAAAGCATGTTTATTTTTAGGTGAACTCTCTCTTTAAAGATCTGTGTGTGTTTATTTATGTAACAGCAATATTATTTATTTTATTTATTTAGTTTAATAGCAAAATTACAAGAAATTAGGATGGTATGTCCTCATTTAGACAGGTAAATGTTAAATAAAAATATATAAATATAAAATTTAACATTTTTATATTTTAATGCACTTGCCAGATGCTTTTATCTAAAGTCTCTTCCAATGCATTTAAGCAATAAAGCATATAATCATGCATTTCCTAGGAATCAAACCTATGACCCTGGAGTTGCTAGGAGCACCATGCATAAAGCATACTTAACGAGATAATAAAAAGAAAAAATATATGCTTTCAACACAATGTGCAAGTGCTTTGGATAAATGCATGAGCCAAATGCATCAATGTAAATGTGTGTGTTTAGGCACCTGTGCCTGTGTTTATGTCTCTCTCTCTCTGGATCTGCTCTCGTATGAGTCTCTGTTGCTCCTGTAGTTCTCGTGATCCCTCCTCCCGCAGACGGATGATCTACAACACAGAAACACGCAACCACACGCATTCCCAGAATTATTATATGCATAAGCAAAACAATACTCGGTGCAATTCAGCCGGCCTGACCCGCAGTAACCCGTCACTCCACACGACAAACACTGACACCTATTGGCTGCTCACTAATCAAACGAGACATTACTGCAGCACTGATGCACGCTTACAGGCAGATTCAGGACAGAAGAGTGAGAACGTGACTGTACATAGATCGAAATGTATGCATTTTAAAGGAATAGCTCATCCAAAAATGAAAATTTGTTGAAAATGCGCTCACCCTCAGGCCATCCGAGATCAGGATGAGTTTGTGTCTTCATCAGATTTGGAGAAATGTAGCACTGCATCAGTGTCTCAGCAACGGATGCTCTGCAGTGAATGGGTGCCGTCAGAATGAGAGTCCAAACAGCTGATAAAAACATCACAATAATCCACAAGTAATCCACAGCACTCCAGTCCATCAGTTAACATCTGGAGAAGACAAAAGCTGAGACAAATCCAGCATTACGATGTTTTAACTAAATACATTGAGTCCATAATCCATAATAACGCTTCCTCCAGTGAAAAAGTGTTCTGGTCTGAATCAGGAGAGAAATCTGCACAGATCAAGCAGCGATTAAACAGCTCTAAACACATATGTGGCTGGATTTTGATGGACTTTTTCACTGGAGGAAGCGTTATTATGGACTCGTATTTTAGTTAAAAACATCTTAATGCTGGATGTGTTTCAGCTTTTGTCTTCTCCAGATGTTAACTGATGGACTGGAGTGCTGTGGATTACTTGTGGATTATTGTGATGTTTTTATCAGCTGTTTGGACTCTCATTCTGACGGCACCCATTCACTGCAGAGCATCCATTGCTGAGACACTGATGCAGTGCTGCATCTCTACAAACCTGATGAAGACACAAACTCACCTACATCTCGGATGGTATGAAGGTGAGCACATTTTCTGCATATCTTCATTTTTGGGTGAACTGTTCTTTTAATTGCAATGTAATTCGCTCTAGATAAAACCATCCGCCAAATGCATTATAAAAAAAAGTAGATATCAGCTGTACTTGGTTACTAGTCATCTAGCAGAAGAAAATGCATCCCAAATAACTCACTGTACATTTGAAGGGACTTACAAGCACTTTCCTACTACTAAATAGCCATCCGTTAGGCTGCAACACACAAATCACAAGCACTTAATGGAGTTATATTCGACTTCACACAGATCAAATGAAGCTCTTACCTCCTCTTCTAACGTGCGGGTGATTTTAACCTCTTCTACTTTCACATTATCTGCCTGTTGCTCACGCGCCTCCAAATCTACAAAACAGACAATAAAATGTCATACGCATTACACAGACAATCATATAGCAGCCCATTTCTGCCAAGGAATAAAAAAATGTAACCTCGACTTTTTAGATCACAATTCTGTTTTGTTTTTTTTACCTTTCTGCTGTGGAATAAAAAAGATAACTGCAAATTTTCACTTGTAATTGTGAGTTTATTTTTTCACAATTCAGACTTCTGTTCTCTGATTTGCAAGTTAATATCTCGCAAACACGAGTTAACATCTCGTCATCATTATCACTTTTTTCTCAGAATTGCAGGTTTATATCTCGCACTTCTGAGAAAAAGAGTCTGAATTGTGAGATATAAAGTTGCAATTACCTTTTTTATTTTTTATTCCGTGACGGTAAAAAGTTGTAAAAGATGTAAACTGCAATGCAAGGAATCAGAATTGTGAGAAAAATTTCTAAATTGTGAGATAAAAATCTTTTTTATTTCTTGGCAGAAACATTCCTCCATACAATCAATTCATTCCCATAATAACGTAAAGATGTAAACTCAGAATTGCAAGGAATGAGAATATATCTTGCTTTTCTGACTTTTTTTTCTCAGAATTGTGAGAAAAATGTCTAAATTGTGAGATAAAAATCCGCAATTAACTTTTTTATTTTTTATTTCTTGGCAGATACATGCCTCCATACAATCGATTTCAGTGGTGAACAGTAAGGAAGTAGTTTTACTTCGTTCCTGTACTTAAGTACATTTTTCAAGTATCTGTACTTTACTGCATAAGATCGTACTTTTTACTTCACTACATTTCCTAAAAATGATCGTTACTCCTTATAATATATCACGTGCTCCGAGACGCAGAAGCGGTGTCTGATTCATGAACGAACTGATTCTTTTCAATGAACCTTTTAAATCGGTTCGCAAATCGCACCAAACGATTCATTCACGAATTAGAATGATCCTATTGCAGCTGTTCTCGAGTCGACAACTCACTGATTCAAATGAACCGTTTAGTGCGAGTCTCCAGTGAACTGAACTCACAAGGAAGAACCGGGAGATCTTGTGAGCGCGCGCGCGTCTGATGCTGTTAAAATAGTTATTAAGCTCGAATTTTAGGATTAATTATTGTAACTGAAAATCATATTTAGGTCAAAGCTGTCAGTTGTTTGTGAACTAAATCTGCTGTAAAGGGTGATCAGTCCACTGAAATGCTTGAATGCAGACACATCAACATCAGAGTCTCTATGTTTTAGGGTCCAAAAACATTAAAATAACAGATTAAATAAAATAACTCATGCACGTTTATCTTCCCCGCTGCTGTAACGTTAGCAGTTTTACTAAAATGCTATGCATTTAGCCCTATGTGACGTCTGTTTTTATATTGTTTGTCAGCACACATAGCCTAAGTTACTATGTATCTGGATAAACTAGCCGAGTAGACAAATATAAATGTTAACTGAAAATAAGTCAATAATGTTAGCTGATGCTAACTGTCTAGCTAACGAGCTTGCTGGTGCTAAATTTAGGTAATTAAAAAAAATTATAAAGTCCAAATATTTGTATTCAACCACCTAGATAGATTACATCTGAGGGGGAAAGAAAGGATGTGATGTTCAGAACATGGTAACTACAGTAATTATCAAAGTGGGAAGTGATTTTTACTTAAGTACATAACAAATCAAGTACTTTTGTACTTTCACGCGAGTAAAATTGAAAACTGAGTACTTCTACTGGAGTAATATTTTATTATACGGATCTGTACTTTTACTCAAGTACTTGATTTGTGCACTTCGTCCACCACTGATCGATGTATTCCCATAATAACGTAAAAGATGTAAACTCAGAATTGCAAGGAATGAGAATATATCTTGCTTTTCTGACTTTTTTCTCAGAATTGTGAGAAAAATCTCTAAACTGTGAGATAAAAAACTTTTTTATTTTTTATTTCTTGGCAGAAACATCCCTCCACACAATCGATGTATTCCCATAATAACGGAGCAGAAATGAGTGTACTTGATGAAGAGTGGCTGACCGAGTTTAATCTTCTTCCTCTTGTCATCCAGCTTTCGGTTTCTCTCCTCGGCTTGTTTTTTAGCAGCACGGATCTTGTCGTAAGCAGCCTGAAAGAAAGAAAAACAAATGCACAAATGAACATCCCGATGAAGAACATCGAGTATTTCTATATCAGTGCGAGAGGACCTCAAGATGACTTAAAAACCGGCTTAAACAACAGATCAGACATTTCTTATTATAATTCATTTCGGTTTTTCTGCGTTCCTGGAAAACATGCATATAGAAGTGTTTAAAACTGTGATTTCTAGACCTAGAAAAGTCACGGGAAATGAACTGCCATGGGAATCTGTATTATGAATGTGCATTTTTCTAGTTACGCCAGATTAAAAAAAAAAGTGTCAGGTAGAAATAATGAGTTTTTAAAAATCCACAAACTACTGGAAGAACATTACATTCCCAAAACTTATAGAATTTTTTTTTTTTTAATTATTATATTTTTATATATAATTGTTTTATTTAATTTATGGGCACTCCTACTGTTTTGCAAATTTAAAAAATGTAGATACAGCCGAGGAGCCCTATTAGATGCAAGGCCTTCAAATACTGTTGCAGACGATGGAGTCAAAATGATTGATCTCGTCTAATGTAACTGTGCTTTATGATGCATATCAAATGTTTGAGGTGATTCTCACCTTGGCAGCGGCGTCTGTCAAAACCTCCAGAGCCTGAGACAGCTGGTGGAAGAGCTCCGCTGCAACGAAGAAGAAAAAAATCACATTAATTTGACTGTAAAACAAAGTAAAAACTCTTGCACTGGTATAATAACTCCTATCTATTCAAAGTCAACTGAACATCCCCGAAGAAACAATGCAAACTTATAAAATGGGATATGATGATTTATTTAAAGGCCTCGGATCATAGATTTTTATTACTATTTTGAAGAGATCACATGACAACTTTTATTGAAACTCAACAGCTCAGTGTCTGCACACATTTACATATCAACACCAATTTCAACAACTTTAAATTCTAGGGTATTTCATAATTTTTTTTATTGTATTCATTTTTTCTAAACCATTAAAAAAAGCAAAAATATAATTGCAAAACATTTTCACACCACATTATCCATTTTCGCCAAAATAATTAAAATACTCATAATAATAATAATAATTATAAATTATTTACATACTCGTACACAGTACATCAAACTGTTTTTAATGACTTATTTGTTGTTTTAATCTTTCCCAAAGAATTTAAAAAAGAAAAAGCCTAATGTAATTGCAAAAATTTTTAATTTTTACCCCACAATATCCCTTTCTGCCAAAATATTGAATCAAAATATGCATACAATTTGAATAATGATAAATTAACATATAACTATTTATTTATTGTTTTAATCTTTTCCACAGCATTAAAACCCTAATATATTGAAAAACTTTACATTTTCACCCCATAGTATCCCTTTCCACCAAAATAATTAAAATATGCATAAAAATATTAATAATTAAGATATACATACACAATTAAAAGACAGTTTGGTGTACTTACTGATTGTTTTATTGTTTTCTAAATCATTATATGTAATATAACCGCAAAATTTTACATTTTATTATTATTATTAACTAATTAATTAATAAATATATCACACATACATAATTAAAAAAAAGTTTAATGCACTATTTATAATTTAGTGGTTTTATTTTTAACAAAGCATTAAAAAAGACACATAAAAATGCAAACATTTAAATTTTACACCACATTATCCCTTTCCACCAAATAATATTATATATATATATATATGTGTCCCTGCAGCACAAAAGCAGTGTTAAGTCGCTGGGGGATATTTGTAGCAATAGCCAACAATACATTGTATGGGTCACAATTATTGATTTTTCTTTTATGCCAAAAATCATTAGGATATTAAGTAAAGATCATGTTCCATGAAGATATTTTGTAAGTTTCCTACTGTAAATATATCAAAACTTAATGTTTGATTAGTAATATGCATTGCTAAGAACTTCATTTGGACAACTTTAAAGATGATTTTCTCAATATTTAGATTTTTTTGCACCCTCAGATTCCAGATTTTCAAATATTGTCCGATCCTAACAAACCATACATCAATGGAAAGATTATTTATTCAGCTTTCAGATGATGTAAAAAATCGACCCTTATGACTGGTTTTGTGCTGCAGGTTATAAAATATATATAATATAATCTTTTTTTGTCTTTTTATACTTTTCTATTTTATATAGCATGGTTCAAGGCCTTTACGCAGGTTTATTGTTGAAGAATTAAGTGCTGTAGTCTGACTCCTGCTAACGAACATGTTTCCTTCATTACAGCAGGGTGCCGGCGCTCTCACGAAAGCTGTTCCCGCTAATGACACCCTGCTGCGCTCCTGCGTGTAAACGCGGGTCCCCGCCGCAGCACACGAGGGGCCGCCGGACCCCTAATGACTCACTGATGGCACGACTGGTTCTGCTCTCCGCTAACAAGCGTCTGCGAGCTCCGCTTTCACCCCCAGAGACCCCCATCGAGCCAGCGACTCGTGTTACAGCGATACCTGCGCGATTAACAGAGCGAAGCCGTCCGCACGCAACACCAGCGGCCAGAAGAGTTTCAAATGTTTCTGAAAGAAGTCTGTTCTGCTCACCAAGGCTGCGTTTATTTGATCAAACATACAGTAAAAATAGTGAAATATTATTAGAATCTAAAACAGCTGTTTTCTATGTGAATCTCTGTTAACATATAATTTATTTCTGTGATGGGCAGCTGTATTTTCAGCATCATTACTCCAGTCTTCAGTGTCACACGATCTTCAGAAATCAGTATAATATGCTGATCTGCTGCTCGAGAAACATTTCTGAATATTATCAATGCTGAAAACATTGTTGAAAACCTGGCCTTTTACTCCAGGTTCACACATATTTCGTTTGCAGTGTGCATGCAGTCCATGTGTGTTACGTAAGCGTGCAGAAGCAGCACAGACTGTGCTTTCACACAGGAGTCCGCTACTGATCCGTGACTGTTTAATACAAACACAACATTCATCCATTATTTTGATTTCAAATCCAAACATTGTTACTTAAAATGCCTTTTCAGCATTGCAATTAATTCTTTTTTTTACACAGTGCATCTTTCATAGACGTGTTTAAACGCAATAAATGTAAGAAACACATTTTCAGTGTCACATGATCTTCAGAAATCAGTATAATATGCTGATCTGCTGCTCGAGAAACATTTCTGAATATTATCAATGCTGAAAACATTGTTGAAAACCTGGCCTTTTACTCCAGGTTCACACATATTTCGTTTGCAGTGTGCATGCAGTCCATGTGTGTTACGTAAGCGTGCAGAAGCAGCACAGACTGTGCTTTCACACAGGAGTCCGCTACTGATCCGTGACTGTTTAATACAAACACAACATTCATCCATTATTTTGATTTCAAATCCAAACATTGTTACTTAAAATGCCTTTTCAGCATTGCAATTAATTAATTTTTTTACACAGTGCCTCTTTCATAGACGTGTTTAAACGCAATAAATGTAAGAAACACATTATTCAATGCTTTTTACTTTTGCATTTACTTCTAGATTGATATATTAAGTTGCTCAAGCAAGTGGCAAAACATTTAAACTACTTTTTTTTAATACATTATCACAAACCATTGACAGAAACAGTCAGCTCTACTGCCTTTTCTTTTGCATTTAAATCTTTATTACAAGCAATCCTGCATTTTCATACCTCCACAAGTTTTCATACCTCCACGAGTGCCATCTATTATTGCCTTGTTTATCTAAAAGTGCTCTTTTCCTTTAAACCTAGCCAACAAGCCATAGCCTATGTGTTGATTGTGAAACACAGTAGACTTTAATTATATGCATTTGTGGTGGAATTACTTAATTTTCGTGTCAATCTATGTTAACATTTACTTTATAAGTTAATATTTAACTTTAATTTAGCGCAGCAAAAATAGACTCGGTGTGGAAACGATCTCTGCACTGCTGCAGACGCACCGCTCCTGAACGCAGTCTCGGTTGCAGTGTGAACGCTTTAATCCGATAGCATGAGCGCGGATAAAATACGTACCGCATACACACTGCAAACGGAGTATAATAATGTGAACCTGGTGTTATGTGTGTGCGCTGCGAGTGTGCATGAGCGTACTGACTCCAGGAGAGCACGCGAGCGCTGAATGCTTTAAACACTGGCAAGAATAATAAAGAAATGCAATTTATAAACTTTAGTGACGATGCGTCACTGCCTCGATTGTGCAAGCGACAATTCCTGTGTCAACTGTGCAGCTCGCTTATAGTGCAGACTCGATTTGATTTGAAGCCGTTTGCGCATTTTGAGAGAAAGAGAGAGCGTGCGCGGTGATTCACTCACGCTGTTTGTGCAATTATGTCTCACAGAAAGTTTTCTAATTAGCTACTTTATAAGTTATTTAATGAAAAAATATGAACTGTATTTCACCCGTGCTGGACAGACACTGAGACGGTGCTGCTGCATGTCGAGCTAAACCTCTCATGGCAGGCGCGTCATCAGCTTGAGATCGTTTTTTTGGAGATCGGCCTTTTTAGAGACCGCCGATCAATCATCCCCAAGTGATTATCGGCCGATTGTGATCGGGAGCCGATCAATCGGAGCACCCCTACTGAATGATGCTGAAAATTCAGCTTTGATCACAGAAATCAATTACATTTTAACAGATATTCACATAGAAAACAGCTGTTTTAAATTGTAAAAAAATTTCACACTTTTTACTGTATTTTTGATCAAATAAATGCAGGCTTGCTGAGCAGAAGAGCCTTCTTTCAAAACCATTTAAAAGTCCTAATTATTCCAAACTGCCGCCAGTGTACCGTGCCCTTTGCCTGACCCCACGGCTCTCGCGTGAGCGGCCATATGGGAGTCTGCATATTCCATGATTTCTGAGAAAGCAAACCTGCACCATAACCCATTATGCCTCGTTTCCCAGTTTTGACTTAATCAGGAATTGTTGAAGGCCTCCAGAGACCGCAGAGGGGAAAAAAACGGCCCTCAAACACGCCATCTTCGTCCAAGGTGCATTATTGCTGACACTGAATGATTTTCCCAGCATTGATTAGGCACATGTTCTGGGCAGACGGAGTCACGGGGGGTATAAGAGAAGCCACATGCTGCAGCCCTGAGCGCTTGTGCCGTCTCGTCTTATGTCATGCTGCCTCGTAGCTGCCAGGATTGTTTGGTCTCCGTTTGGAAGTCTGTGCTTGTCTTGGCCCGCTTAGTTTTGACTGGTTTAACCCATGAATTTAACCATATCTGATCTACAGTGGCTTTATGTTGTTGGCTTTGTGCTTGAACTCTCATGAAAATAATGTCCCTCCAAAATCAACTGAAACATTTTGTAGGATATATTTTGCAACAAAAAAAAGGTTAATGTTTTCATGGAATTGCAACATTATTTTCACGACAATTAAGCAACTCCTCCCTATTACGGTAATGCATGAATAAATGTTCTCTTTTTTGCTATACTCATTTATTTATAGTGACTTACATTAGATTCTCATTATTGTATTAAGTATTTTTTTATTAAAATAAGCACATTTATATTTTATTAAATATAATAATATTATAATAATTTTAATAATATAACTATGAAAACAACAACAATATATTTCTGTATAATTTAATACATAAATACATTTTTGCATGATTGTTTTAATTTAAATAAGGCAGCATTTAAAGTACTAGTATGAAGTATAGATTTTCATTATTTTAATAAATATTTTATTATTAAAATAAGCACCATTTATATTTTTTATTAAATATAATATTATAATAATTTTTATAATATAATTATAATTATTTTAATAATATAATTATAATAATTTTACAATATATAATAAAAACAAGAAAAAGATCAATAATAAGAAATAAATACTTTTAAAATGTATTTTATTAAAATTGATTATTAAATCAATTTCTTAAAATGTTTTTAAATAAGGCAGAAGTTAAAATACTAATACAAATTATAAATACTTAATCGATATACTTAATATAAACTCTAAACTTTTGCCATACACTAATAGAAATGAGAATTTGACAATGAGGAGAATTTGGTGGAGTTAATTGCACTTAATTGTCATGAAAACATAACCCTTTGCAAGCTATAATCTCTTGTGATTTGGGAGTGAAATATGATCTAATCATGTTCTTGACAGGCTTTCATGAGACACGCTCTTATACTCACAACCAAGTTTAGTGCCCTGTTATAATGATTTACTGCCAACAAGTAACAGGTTTTCTCTTAAAGGCTCATATGCTGGAAAACAGGATGCTTCTTGATCTTTCCAAACAAGTGTACAGTGCACTTTGCAGACATGCATTTGCTGAACCGGATTCATTCAGAAATCATGTGACATCACAGGCACTCATTAACCTATGACCGCTCACATTTACATATCAACACTAAGTGTTAAGTAACTTGAAGCTCCCTGAAGAGCCACAGCTTGATCTATGCAAGTATACAGATGATAGCTAATCATACAGCACAGGATCAGAGAGAGTGAGGAAATGATCATGAAAAACAGGGCTGTTGCATGAAATCTTGATTAATATTATAAATACTCCATTATAAATATTTGTAATTTTAAGGAAAAAAATAAAGCATATATGCGACAAGTCAACAAGTCAAGCGCATGCCAGTCCAGCCCACCTGATTATAATACAAGAGACAGAAACGTTAGAATAAATACAAAAAAAAATTTGTTGAAATAAATATATGTATCTTAATATGGAAAAATACATACATGTGGGAATAAATAAATAAAACGAAAGAACAAAAAAACATTTAGAAGAAAAGAACGAAAGAAAGAAAGTTTAGATAAATAAATAAATAATACAAAATAATAAAACGTTTAAAAGAATACAAATAAAGTTAAAAATAAACAGAAAACAAGTGGAAAGAATAAAAAGTTTTTAAAGGTTTAAAAGAACAAAAATAAAGTTAAAATACAAAAAAAATGAAGGCAAGAATTGAAAAGTTACAAAAATAAATACAGGAAAGAAAGAAAGTTTAGATAAATAAATAAATAAATAAAACGTTTAAAATAATAAAATAAAGTTAAAATGCAAAAAAATCAAGGAAAGAATTAAAACGTTACAAAAATAAATACAGGAAAGAAAGAAAGAAAGAAAGAAAGAAAGTTTAGATAAATAAATAAATAAAATGTTTAAAAGAATAAAATACAGTTAAAATGCAAAAAAAATGAAGGAAAGAATTAAAAAGTTACAAAAATAAATACAAGAAAGAAAGAAAAAAAGAAAGGGAGTTTAGATAAATAAATAAATAAAATGTTTAAAAGAATAAAATACAGTTAAAATGCAAAAAAAATGAAGGAAAGAATTAAAAAGTTACAAAAATAAATACAAGAAAGAAAGAAAAAAAGAAAGGGAGTTTAGATAAATAAATAAATAAAACGTTTAAAAGAATAAAATAAAGTAAAAAATAAACAGAAAACAAGTGGAAAGAATAAAACGTTTTTAAAAGTTTAAGAAAGAAAGAAAGAATAAAAATGTTAATTAGTTAAAATAAATACAGAAAATAAAATAAAATAAAAAAAACAGAAATAAATTTAGGACTGAATTTAATTAGAAATTATTTAATTATCAACTAATATATTCCTTTATTTGTCTCCATTTTTTTATTTATTTAATTATTTTGCTATTCTTTACTTCTTTAGTTAGTCAGTCAGTTAGTTAGTTAGTTAAGCAGGTTTTGTCTCAATCGCTCACCAGCTTTGGGATTATCAGGGTTTTTATCAGGATGGCAGGACAGCGCTTTCTGTCGGTACGCTTTCTTGATCTGCAAAAGAAGAGAAAGAAGAATCAGATCCAGTTGCATCACCGCAAACATCCGGCTTGATAATATCGCCATGCCATTCTATGCATTTATCAAATTCTTGATTGTTTCTGCTGCAGCTATTTCACAAGAAAAAGTTAATATACAAAACATTTGACATAACTCAAGACTCCAAGGAGCTCACGCTTTCCTGGAAAAGGCCTGAAGCATCAGAGATGTTTTATAACAATAGACTGCGGTCACATCCACCGCAACCCAGAAATCCCAGCATCATCCGCCTCTAAATCACGGCACACATTAACATCAGACTGCACACGTCTATGTGCCATGAACTCCCATGAGCCTTTGGGAATGTGAACCGCACGTCTCATCGGGTTGACAATGGTGTGTTTCTCATTAGACGCTGTCCATCAGCTGACAGAGACTCAAACCGGCCTATCACTTTACAATAAGACCTCATTAGTTAACCTTAGTTAATGCATTAACATTCACAATCAGCAATAGCTACATTTGCTACAGAAGTTATTCATCTCTGTTTAAAAATACAAGTCTTAGTTCATGTTAGCTCATTAAATAACACAGCTGAAACTCTCGATTTTAACATCCTGTTATTAAAGGCTTTCATCCAGAGCGTCTCTCACATGTTCCGCCGTGTGCTTCTCATCCGCGCTCATTTACATCAGAGTGCGCACGCGTCTTTCACGCAGCATACAGCGGTGTTGTGCATTTTCACCAGTTTATGGGAAATGTATTCTTAAAATGCATTCAAAATTTGGAATAATTTGTAATATATAATTATTCACGGTATTTAGAAGTGCCCACGATAACAATATCGTGCATATTCATTACTGTGATATATCGCATTACCGAATACCGGCACAAGTCTACACCAGACATATATATCGGTTCAAAATATCGGTTATCGGTACTTGATCTGTAATAATCGGTATCGGCCCTGAAAAACACACATAAAACACAACCCCTAGAAAAGATGCCTGTCGGGGTTCAACATGCAGCGACAGACTCGTAAAAACACTTCCTAATAAATCAGAGCCCATGATTTAAATAGTTTATTGCTACACAATGGAGTTCAGTTTACAGTAAAATGTGACCTCAAGAAAATTAGATTCAATAGCGATCAAGTTTGTGATCACTCTCAATACCACCGCCACCATCTTATAATTTATAACTATTATTAATTTATAACCTCTAAATGATACATGTGGGAATAAATAAACATTCAAATTAAAAATAAATAAAGGAAAGAACACAAAAATTAAAAGGATAATAAATAAATAAAAGTTCACAAGAATAAAATAAAGAAAAAGTAAATAGTTTAAAAGAATAAAATAGTTAAAAAATAATTTTACAAGCATCAGAATGTTATATAAATATTGCAAATTGCACCAAATTGCATGTTTTCTCAGTTTGAGTCTCTAAATATATATGAATATAAGAAAATATAAATATAATTGAGCTGCTTTTCCTCCATATGCTCACTATATCAGACTATATGAACCATAAGCCTGAGGAATCAAATACGACACGCATTAAAAAAACACAAGATTTTTTTAATATTTGGTCTAAAGTTTCAATGAACTGTTCCATAAAAAAAAAAAAAAAAAAGATTTTCCTGTCTTTTCTATAATCATAATGACTTTCTATCTCATATCTTTTACTTTTTTCCTCATCATTTTGATTTTTATCTCATAATTATGACTTTTTATCTCAAAATGATGGCTTGGTGTGTCATGATTAACTTTCATCTCATAATTGTCTTGTCATAATTATGGCCTTTTATCTCAAAATTATGACTGCAAGCAATAAAAGCCTGATGCATCAAATATGACTTTCAACAAAAATCTAATATGCAAACCTTTTGTATATATATTTTTTTCTTCTGACTATTATTTCATATGTCAGGCTTCACAGGGTTAAAATAATCCCAGAAATCCCTGTTTTCTATGGCGTAACGCTGTCTGTGAGACATGATCAGTAAACCGCAGCTCAAACACACTGACTTTATCTAGACTCAGACCTATCTGCAGTTTGCATGTCATCTCTAGTTGCACAGTCCACAATTTAATAAAACAACTGAAAATGGCTACAAAAATTGCATCTACTCAAGATATTAAAGACGCTTGACGTTCCAGACGTTTGATGCGTGCGCTGGACAGAAGTCAGACGGCTGGTGGATGAACGCCATTCATGTCTGTAACCTAATAAACTCTTCATCAGGTTCGAGCTGGAGGGTTTTTAAACATCAGCTCCAGCTCTGACGGGCCAAACGTCCCTCTGGACATTTACTTTTATTCATTAGCATCTATTCAAATCCACAGCTGGAGGTTTTGTGCTCAGCGAATGATATTACAGCATCACAGTGAACACAGAAACTCTATAAAGCTCCAAACAAACACCATTGATCCAGCAACTGCGAGTTAGCAGAACAGATCCTGAACAGCTAAACTAAACTACAAGCACATCTTTCTGGATTCATGTGTAAAAACACGCACAAAAAAGCCCTAATATATATAGGCATCTTTTCTAGGGGTTGACCGATTTGTTACAGGTCAAGTACCGATAACCGATATTTTGAACCGATATATATGTCTTGTATAAAAATTAAAATTAATGTCAAAATTAAGAATAACAAGGGCTCTGACAGCCCTAATATATATATATATATTAGGGCTCTCAGTTTAACGCGTTAACTTAATTAATTAGTTATGAAAAAAATAACGCGATTAAAATATTTTAACGCAGTTAACGCACTGGCCCCGCCCCCAGTCCTCTACATCATTTTATATTTCATACAGTTGACTGTTGACAAATATGATGCAGGGCAACAGTTACATAAATGCAGTTATGCCCTAAAATTCAAGATATTGGGGCAAAAATGCTCCTGTATGAGTTTGGTCTCATATTTATATCATATGATAAGCAATATTATCAGAGTCAGTGATTCATGATTACCCATTCATAAAGACAGTCACTTGATTCATTCCTGAATGAATCAGCCGTTCGAATGAATCAATTGAATGAATGATTCAGTGATAAAATCAGTGACTTGCCACCACCTGCTGGCGGATTTAGTTTCAGTCTTAAAGTGTCTTTTCAGTTATTTAAATAATTTAATATTTCTATATTAAAAATTTTATATTGAAAACCTTAATCTCATCATGAATTTATGGATTTAATTGCACTCATGCCACCGCTGATCCTCATTAAATGTCTGAAAGTACACCAAACCACTTTTGTGTTCTTCTGTGCCACCTCTACAGATTAATTTTGTTAATACTGATTTCATTTGAATGGTAACTTATGTTTCTTATTCTACTTGTTCTTATTCTGTCGTTTTAATAAAACTTTTAAAAAGCTTATAAACTATGATTTTTAAAGAATTTGACAAAAGATTACATACGTTTAATAAACTTAGAAAAATGCCATTACAAAGGTAAAAACTAAATTCCACTGTAAATCACTTTAAGGAGTCAAATATCAATCACTTCGTAATGGGAAGGCACATTTTTTATACAATTTTGGATTATTGATTAGAAGGTGCTCCTAAAATTTTGAACGTGCTCCTA